TAATTGACTTACATGCGCAAACAAATGACACAGAACTATTTTTGTACTTTGTAAATAAGATTTATTGCGTGGTCATTGAATAAAAATTCTATAGTGTGTTTCATGCTTTTGTTATAACAAAATCCATACTATAAATTATTGTACAAGTTATAAGTGAATTTTAGTCAAATTTTGTGCAAATTGTAATTTGTACAAGCACTTTTTGTACAAATTACAATTTGTACAAAGTCAAAATACAAGTTATAATTTGTACAATTTTTTTGTACAAATTATGATTTGTACAAAATGATAACTTGTACACAACATATACAAAACGGCTTCTAATATACATAGCCTAAAGGTAGAAGCTTCGATTTATAGGCACATCATGAAGAGTAGGTGTTATATTATGATATCAACAAATAACAATTATTGAACACTTCTGTTCGACGCAAGAGGATACATGGTCATTGAAAATATACACCAGCTGCAGTTCACCGTTTCTATTGATGATTTGTTTTCTTCTGTTCAAAACCCTTGGGATTTCACTATATCCTTTCTCTAAACTATTCCATACCATCATCAAAGTTCAGTTCACCATTTAAAGAGGACCAAAACACTTAAGTTATTGGTTTAACTTCTCCTAAGTACAGATTGCTTGCAATGGTTATGGATATTGATAATCAGAGGCTATTCACAGCTATGACAATTGGAACATATCCGTCGTCATCTGTGAAACAGATATTCCGTAACGGTCAAAAACTTGTGATGGTGTCCGTAAAATTGTCGAAGGGATGACTTCAACTTCATAGATTAATGTCAATCTCGGTAATCTAATGTTGCCTTAATTTATATAATGACGATGACCATGACTGAATCTACACCGTGGAGGAGTGCTTCCTTAATTAATATAATGACGATGGCCATGACTGTATCTACACCGTGGAGGAGTGTTGCCTTAATTTATATAATGACGATGGCCATGACTGTATCTACACCGTGGAGGAGTGTTGCCCTAATTTATATAATGACGATGGCCATGGCTGTATCTACACCGTGGAGGAGTGCTGCCTTAATATATATAATGACGATGGCCATGACTGTATCTACACCGTGGAGGAGTGTTGCCTTAATTTATATAATGACGATGGCCATGACTGTATCTATACCGTGAAGGAGTGTTGCCTTAATTTATATAATGACGATGACCATGACTGTATCTACACCTTGGAGGAGTGTTGCCTTAAATTATATAATGACGATGTCCATGACTGTATCTACACCGTGGAGGAGTGTTTCCTTAATTTATATAATGACGATGGCCATGACTGTATCTACACCGTGGAGGAGTGTTGCCTTAATTTATATAATGACGATGGCCATGACTGTATCTACACCGTGGAGGAGTGTTGCCTTAATTTATATAATGACGATGGTCATGACTGTATCTACACCGTGGAGGAGTGTTGCCTTAATTTATATAATGACGATTGCCATGACTGTATCTACACCGTGGATGAGTGTTGCCTTAATTTATATAATGACGATGACCATGACTGTATCTACACCTTGGAGGAGTGTTGCCTTAATTTATATAATGACGATGTCCATGACTGTATCTACACCGTGGAGGAGTGTTTCCTTAATTTATATAATGACGATGGTCATGACTGTATCTACACCGTGGAGGAGTGTTGCCTTAATTTATATAATGACGATGGTCATGACTGTATCTACACCGTGGAGGAGTGTTGCCTTAATTTATATAATGACGATGGCCATGACTGTATCTACACCGTGGAGGAGTGTTGCCTTAATTTATATAATGACGATGACCATGACTGTATCTACACCGTGGAGGAGTGCTGCTAAAAAGTAAACTAACAAAAATACCGAACTCCAAGGAAATTTCAAACGGAAAGTCCCTTATCAAATGGCACAAATATTCACCCAGCAACAGAACGTACTAGATATAATAAATGTACTATCAATTGTCATTACAACGATAAGTGTTGTAGTATCCAGTTCAAGAATCTGGTTCTCACAGTTTCAATTTATTTATGAAGAGATGATGTTAAAACTTAATTAAAACATTTATGAATCACTGCAATTATGTATGGTCTTTTTAAGCAAAATTGCAACAGTCTTGTCGTCTATCCTTTTCCAAGACAAAGTTGCTTCAATTTCAAAATTTCACATTCAGTTAAGTTTTAGTATAAGAAAATTTACATGACCGATGGTGATGTCTGAGGGTTAGATAAGAGTCAACTACCAAACAGCTATTGCGTGATGCCTTATCCCTTGATATAACGTATCAACATATTTTATAGGAGTAACACGACGGGTGTGACATTTTGAGTAGTTCCAGAGCACCTGAGATCACCCCCGGTTTTGTTGTCGTTCGTGTTGCTCAGTTTTTAGTTTTCTATGTTGTGTTTTGTTACTCTATACTGTTGTTTTCGACTTATGATTTTGAATATCCCTTCTGTATCTTAATGCCGCCTCTCTTTAAAACATGATAAGCTTGGTATTAAAGAAAAAGCACAGAAAAGCTGATATAGCTAATCATACGAAAGACACTTTGTATTTAAAACTATGAATGAATCGATGATTTGATTGCTGGTATAAAAAGCATAGCAGAAAGAACCTTAAGATAGGTGGAATCTTAATTTGGTATAGCATTTACAAATAAATCAAGAATCTGCACTAACTGTGCGCTCACCGATGATCTCCATTCCGTGACTTATAATATTCTGAAACTAACTGATAATAGCATTTTTTTATTTTTGTTCTTATCGGTCATCAGGTAGATCATTTAATAAAACAGCAGCTGTATATTTATGAGAGTTCTTACCTTAGATTGATTTATCTTCAATGTTATAAAATCTAAAGTTATTTTTTTCAAGAGAGGCGAAAGATACTAAAGAGAAATTCAAATTTGTAAGTAGAAAACAAACTGACAAGGCCATGGCATAAAAGGAAAATTGACAAAGACAAACAACAAACGGTACACAAAACACAACACAGAAAACTATATATTGAACAACACGAACCCCATCAAAAACTGGGGTGATCTCAAGTGCTCCGGAAGGGTAAGCTGATCCTGCACCAAGAGTGGCACTCGTCGTGTTACCGCTATTTTAGGAAAACTCCGGTGATAAGTCTTATTCGGTAAGCTACATTCGAGGAAAAGAGGGCGGGATTGTGGTTACAACAATTGGAACATATCCGTCGTCATCTGTGAAATAGATATTCCCTAACGGTCAACCAACTCGTGATGGCGTCCGTAAAATTTTCGAAGGAATGATTTCAACTTCACCACTTTTGATTTTTTATAATATTCGAATACAACTAAGTGGTGGTGACAATCTATATAAAACTATGATCGTTCAGTTGCTATGTTACGCATTCGTCACATCTTAAAGGATGTAAGACTATTTTATATATTGATTCAAGCTCCGCTTACGAATACTGAAATGGTCTTAATATTTAAATCGTCAATCCTTCTCTTGGCTTTTGATTTCCTATTTAGATGTGTTTTTCATTATTTTTGTTGTAAAAATGCCACGTATGTCTGTTCTGTATCCTCCTCCTCCACGCATATGGAAATAGTATATCATTCAAGTTTGTAAAAAGCAGAACATTCAGTTTTTGAGAAGCTAAACGACAAATATTCTTCATTTAAGGATTTGTATAGTGATATGTATACAAATTCTTGATTAAATGGTGAATATTATTAAATTGGTATAAATATCAATGCCTAAAAGTTTGCCGGTCAACCTTTTCACATGGTATTTTACCTGATTATATATTTTAAAAAACAGGATTCTTCCACCAAATCCCAGTTTTGCCCACGGTTTCCAACTGAAACTAGATTGGAACTGAATTCAAACAAATCAATTAAAACAGAACAACTCCCTGGGCATTAACCATTAAGGTCCACTAAACAAGGATTTGTCTAATTCATGTTTTCTACATAAAATTGCTTCGATTGTATGATGATAAAAATTAATACGTTAGATAGATGGGAAATCTCTAAAACAAAATAATAACAAATATAGATACAAATATGTTATTGGCAAAAACTCATTAACAATAAATGGTAACCGTTAAGACATATTGCATATATTGCAATATTAACAGACATGATAGAATGAAAAGTTACATATTAGTATATCATATCATTAAACTATTCCTTATATTTAGACACTCTGATATGAAAGAGGAAGACAATCTAAGTAATAATGAGCTATTGTTTACCGTGCCAAGCCTGAGATATTTTTTCAACAGTGTTAATGTTGCGCTATATTTTAAATAAAATATTTATTTTATTTTCTAATATTTCTCGTTTTGAGGTAAATATATTGCATTGTAATAAGAAATGTTGTTCATCTTCAATTTCCCCATTATTACAGACAGAACAGTACCTTTCGCTTCTCATGGAATATTAAGAAGTCTTACCGCCCTTTCAATCATTAAAGAATGCGCACTTGTGTGTATTTTACATATTGCTGTTCTGTCATTTAAATTGTATAATAAATCAACATATGATGGTCTTTGACCCATTGTGTAAACTTTACGAAAGAAACCGTAAGTTCAGAAGATTCCTGTATGTTTGCATTTTGAATTCACCGCAAGCACTGATCATAAATTCTTTGTTTTTCTCGACTGAAAAGTGCTCTTTTGTTAATCAACTACTTATCCTCAAGATATGAATATCCTAAATTTTGTAAAATATTTTTATTAATCTAGGGGTTTGAAAAACTTGTAGCACAGAAATTTGATTTACAAGTATATAACCATTAGTGGTCCGATTTAACAGACTATATTTTAGGTCATCCCAAATTAATCTCTAAATTTAAACCAAATGTTATATATAGTTACACATCAACAAAAATTATGAGTCTAAATTTTTTTTAAAATCGTACAGAATTGATACAAAATCTTGTCAATTGTGTTATATTTTTGTAGAGATTATCAATTTTCACAGATTTTATCTTTCCGTTAGCTCATTTTAGATTCGAAGTTTAACGGTAACCAGTCAATTATTAGGATTTGGCGGGAACCAGGAACAAAAATATAAACAGATATTGAAAATAAGAAAAAAGACACGATTACTTGCTATTTATAGTGAGTCCCCGTTACATTTGATTTAATAGATGGACTTCAAAACTCACTGTTGATAAATGTTGCACACGTGGTGTACACATACCCGTTTACCCGTTTAATACTGTTAAACTGGGAAAATACAATTATTTAACCCTCTTGCTGCCAAAGGGACATTTATGGATTCTACACACAAATCTTGTTGATTGTGTAGAACGTCAAAGGTCCATGGTAACGTCACAATACTGAGGGGCACTGACAACGTCAAAAGACGGCGCCAAAAGGACGATTTTGGCGGGAATGAAGCAAACTGAATAACAGGTCAGGAATAACCACCAATTGGTGGATTATACCTCAATTGACGTATAATCCACCGATTGACATATAATGGTATAGACCAATTGACGTATAATTCTTTGTTTTTCAAAGCAAATTATTCAACCAAAATGGAGCATTGTTTTCTTAAAACCATATTATTGTATGAAAACATGTCAAACATTCCTAGTTTAGTATAGTGACATAACATATTGCATTTAATCAATAATTGTATTTGCAGTTTCTTCTATTGTTATCTTGTCAATTCTTGATTGGAAAATTTATCACTAATCACCTGTCAATGGACATCAATACTGTCTGCAGTCATGTGATTATGAGTACAACTCCACAGGTGAATGAAGCTCTTTGTTAATACTTGACTTTCATTATTAAAAGTCAATCATGGTCAATAGTACAGATGTTTCATCAAAAGAATTGTTGTACACATGCATTCTCAAGAGATGCAGCAGGCTTTGACAATACTGAAACTTTCGGAGGACTCAATAATGGTCATAAAATAGGTTGTAAGTTGCAAAATGATGCTCCTATCTCACACTAGCATTTTATAGCAAAAAAACTTGCATTATACGTCAATTGGTCTATACCAATATATGTCAATTGGTGGATTATACGTCAATTGAGGTATAATCCACCAATTGGTGTTTATTCCTGACCTGAATAATATACTTAAAACGGATGTCAAAAAATGATACAGGATCATAAGCTTGTTAGTGCTATAATACCAACTTATTTAAAGTGTTTACTAATTATCTAGTTCGTCATTTTCACGTAAAATGTTGCATGATTTCGAGAAATTTCTTAATTGTTTTTTTCATACATCTTTCAATCAGAATATCTCATATATTAATCGCATTCCTAATAAATAATCATAGAAAGGTAACTGTTACACTTGATTACGCGAAATATTAATATTCACAATACACGCTTTATTTAAGAGAACTTGGGGCTCAAATGCCGCGATTGAATTCTCAGTGAAGATTTTTTTTGTAAAAGTACACAAATGTTACCCGATATACTTGTATTGCCATACGATATTTCAATACATTTTATACCCGTTTCATCGTTGAAGCACTATTCTAAAAATATTTATTTTCATTCGAAATGGGGATGTCACAAGTTGAATTAGTACATGTAGTAGGTGACCCAATGATTTCTTTTCCTATCCTACACATCATCCTTTCCCAGTGGCAACCTCAATTTTCAGCCATTCATCACAGATCTTTTACTTTGTAGGACCCACTGAGCAACAGATTTATTGTACATTAGATTTCAGACTTCCTTAATATTGCATGAAATACTTGCCCCTGAACGTTGAGAAGAGAACAATTTATCAATCAACAGATTTTAAAAGATATTTCGTGTATGCCAATTACAGTGTGTACTTCATCATAGAAAATGAAAATGAATTATTATTGATTCAGGTTCACTTGTAGACAATAGAAATTAATTTTAGAGAATTTCTTCCCTCGTTTTTCTGGGTTTTTTTAAATTCGTATTTTCAAACATTTCTCTAAAATTTTGAGCAATAAGTGGTCAACAAAATAATAATAAACATGATTAAAAAATAAACAAAATGAATATGGATAATAATGCCTATAAAAATTATTTCCACGCCTACCGAAACAAGGCTTGGAATGAAAATTCTAATCTGACACGTTTGATACTTTACAACAAGAAGTATAGTTCATAGAATCGGCTGCTCAGAGTTTTTATTTATTTTTTTTGTACACGCATTGTTTTTATATTTTATTTTCATTGGGTGCCGTTGTTTTGTTTATATAATTATTTTAGAGATTTTTTTACGGTATTTATCAATTATAACAAGGTTTACTTAGCTAATCGGATAACAAGGATAAATATATTTTAGTATTTTAGAGGTGGTTAAGAATCAGTTATGCATTTCACTTGACAAAGATAAAACAAAAGCGCTTATAAAGCTAGTAGCAATGGGTATATTATTTTCATTTTTTTTAAAGACAAGAAAGATAAAAAAAAAATATATTTCAAGGTTAAAAGTTGTATTTTTAAATAATGTTGTATTAAAAACATCGTTTATAACAATTTTAGAGCCATAGTTTTCATTAAATTACTTTTACATCGCTTTTCATAATTACGGCTACATTGACGCGGGAAAAATTATGAACGGCGGGAAAGCGCTGTTCTACAGATAGGCACAAGTTTTGCAACGTCACAGATATGAAAAGTCAAGATGCTTTTGGCGCGACAAAGCAAGAAAAAAACTCGGCAGCAAGAGGGTTAATAAACAAATTAGTAATTGAAAGAAAAAAATGTAACTTTATAACTTCTCTGTATGTCTCTTTTGACCATATAGCTCCAAAAAAGTTGTTTGTATTCAATGGGAAAATTAACTAAGTGCTTTAGATTAAAGGCAACAACTTTTGGTAAGAAACTTCTAAATACACCTTATCGCTATTTGTCTGCCATAACTGGACAACTTAAGCGTTCCCTTAAATTTGGCATCACTATAGCAAATGTCAGACTACACAAAGAAAAAGTGTTCAAGTATCACAGATTCTCTGATCAATTGTCGCAGATTCCCAAATAGCAATAAGGTCTATAGTCTAGAAGTCTTTAGAAGTGTCAACTTGACACTATAATCTCTCTGTATTTTCGATCACTCTGGTAATTTTATGTCACTATTGTATAAAACTCATTAGTACATTTGTATTTATGATGTGGCACTGCAGAGAAAAATAAATAAATAAATAAATAAATAATTAAATAATTAATTAATTAATAAATTAAAAAAAAAAAGTGAATAAATAATTAACCCTTATAAAACCTTAACTATCTATTTTGTGAACCTTCCAGTATCTTTAATAAAGACCCCTAACAAATGTTGAATATCTTCTATGTGATGTTTGTAATTTTCATTTTCTGTTGTTGCTAATAATACATCTGATTCAAGTGTTAGTTTTGATGTTATGAAGTAGAGTGCAGAGAGGAGTTTCTCTCTAGCTTCCTCATAATTTTCACAATACAATAGATAATGGTCAACTGTTTCTATTTGTCCACAGCTGCATTTGTCGATGAGTGCTGGGCATATCATTGATTTGTAAGAGTTTAAATTACAATATCCTGTTCTTAAACTAGTAGTTATCCGATATATTTCAGTTGACGGTTTGTCTTTTGGAATTGTATTTTTTACATTTTGTTGAAAGGAATAATATCTTCCTCCTTTATCACTGGTGTCCCATCGGTTTTGCCATTTTAACATTACACTGTCTTTTGCTCCTTTCTGTATATCTTGTTTTGTAAATATTGGAATGCCTTGTATTTTTTCTGCCTCCTGTGCTGCTTTTTTAGCTAGTTGGTCTGCTAGTTCATTACCTTGTATATCAGCGTGTCCAGGGGTCCATTCAATGGAAACAATGATTCCTTCAGATTTTAGTGCCAATATACCGATTTTAATATCATGAATAGTTTTGCCGTAATTATCTGATTTCCAATTTAAAGTGAAAATTCCAATTGCTGATTGGCTGTCTGAAAAAATTTTGATGGATTCATTGTTTTTTCTGTTGTTTGGAATTATAAGAAAATCTATTACCAGCTTGATAGCTACTAATTCCCCTAATAAAATAGATCCTCTATTGGAAACTGGCTGTGTTAACTCCACATGTTCTGTGCTGTTTGATATTAAAATAGCTGCCCCAGCCCCGCATGGACCTGGGTTTCCTTTGCAGGAGCCATCAGTGAAAGCTAATGTTGTATTCTTTTTTAGTTGATGTATTTTTTCCAAAATAATAGTCTTTCCCTGAAATGCTTGTTCCCCTGATCTAGACTTTGAACTTCCGAGATTTTTCCAATACTCTGGTGGTGATTTTGAGGCTGCTAACCCTCGGAATTCAAATTAATACTCTATACAATCAGAATCAATCTCTGTTGACCTCTTCATGTCTTCAGACTGTAATACCATTCTTCCAATTGGTGAGATTATTTTTTCAGGTTCATTTATATTTTTCCAATCTTCAAAAATTTGTTTAATAGGGATAGTGATTTTATATGATTTTATTTTTGCAATTTGTCTTATACCGGCTTCTTCTCTTTTGAGGTCCAGTGGAAGTATTCCTGCTACTACTACTAAGGCTTCTATACTAGCTGTTGTTGGTTGGTTGAGACATAAGGCTAGTCCTTTTCTTTGAATAGCATTTAATTTATTTATATGAGTGTTGTTGTTGATTTGCCATACACTGCTAGCATTTAACACTTTTGGTATTTGGCTGAATTTTGTGTCCGAATGACCCTAGATCTATCTACAAACAACCTTCTGACGTCAAGCAACAATCACTTTTTAATAATGGCATCCAATTTTTCAAATTGTGATGCAAAATTTGCAAGAACTTATGAGATTTTAAGTATTGGTAAACAAATTTACATACTACAAGTGTAAATATATTTATACCTGGTTGATTATGTGTTTAATCCCTTGGAAGATGCTGTTTTTCAGAGGTATCAATAGACAATTTTAAATTTGTGAATAAACTGCCCTGGTTATGGGGTCATTTCTGGTAAAAACGCATCATGGAACATTAATTTGTGACATCAACAATTTTTGGGAAAAGCACCAGTTGAAAGACCATGTATAGGAGAGCTACGTGCAGGGTTTTTCATTCATTTTGGCCTAACAGTAATTTTTTAAATCTAGACTCAAAATCATGGCAACTGGT